GGCGGGCTGGCGGCGGCCGGCGTCCCGGGCGAGCGCGCGCCGCGGCTCCGCTCCCGCCGGTGCGCCAGGCGCCTCTGCAGCCCTGACCCAGCGAATCTGCCCGGCCGCCCGGCGCCGCGCCCGCCCCTGCCAGCCAATCAGCGCGCGGCGGCGGGCGCGGGCCGGCCGCGCTGCCCGCTGCAGAGGCGGCCTCGGCGGGCGGCGCCCGGGAGGGGCGGCGGGGCCGCGGGAAGGAGCCGGGCGGGGCGCGCGGCCCCGGGGAGCCGCGACCGCGGACTGGCGGCGGCGGCTGAGCAGGGCGAGGGCAGCCCAGCCCGGCCCTGGTCCCCCCGTGGGCGTGGCGCCGCCGGCCGGGGTGGGGCGGCAGGAGCCCGAGGGGCCGGGGCGGCGGCCCAGCGGTGCGCCGCGGTGGGCGGCGGGGTGCGTCTCAAAGGCGACCCCGGCATCTCTGGGCTCCGGCCCCCGCGGCCCCCTGCAGAGCCCCAGGTGGGCATGTGCGGCTGGCGAAGGTCACCTGGCTAGGCGCACAGTTGCACCCTGGCCTTGGCACTCTGCCCAAATCCTACCCGGCGGCCGGGGGTTGGGGGTTGAGAGGGAGTGGGTTTCAGCCTCCTCGCGTTCAAATAATTTAAATAAAATAAAGACATTTCTCAGAGTCGCTTATGTTCTTACACTGGACACTCCCCTAGTTTGCAGCATTTCTGGAACCTCAGCTGTGATGAAACCTGCGGAAGCTTGCTGTGATGAAAACGGTTGAAGGACTCCTTTTAATCGGAGGGACCACTGGTTGGCTGCCCACCCCCCACTGCTTTACTACTGAGTCATCTTTAAAACACTATCCTTGGTCCCAGCCAATTGTCAATTCTGACTGCCATCAACAATGTTTGAAGCCAGATTTTCCTTTCCAAATAACTGCTAAACTGAAGTTAGCCATCTTTAGAGTTTGCATTCTTCCAGCTTATTAAAATATATGCTTTTTTTTTTTTTTTGGCTTAGGAAAGCAAAAGTAATTTCAAGACAGGTCCAGCAATGACAACTTGGAAATGGGGTGAGATGTCTCAGGTAAGGTACAGGCGTCACTGTAGAGAGTACACACGTCTGTGCATTACCCACTGGCGGTACCTTTCAAAAAGTTCTGCCTGAAGGTAATTTCAAAAATTAATTCCTTTTCAGGTAATGTTAAGTAAGTCCTTTGATGTTTCAAGATATCCCTCCTCTACCCATGAATGTACTTTCTGAAAGCAGCAGTAACCTAGCATTCTATGGGTTAGGGACTTTCAAAACTGTCTTCTAAACACAGATCAAGGTGGGCTGTCATTCTACATTAGCTAGTTTCATGGTGCCCCATGGTATATATTTTGGTCACCCTGACGCTTCCTATAGGTTTCTGCAGTGTTACACATGGGATGTTCATAAGATGAGCAGAATCAGTTTCCTGTGACACTAATTTACTAAAAGATATATGTGAGTCAGTAAATTTAGAAGTTGCTTGCAACTCATTTTCATAGTCATCTACATAAGACTAGCATGTTTAAGTCATATACAAATGGCTACCCCAAATTTCCCAAAACTCTGACTTGAAAACAGGATCTGAGGATCCAAATGTAATTGATTCCTCACTGTAATTGCTCTCCCTGGCAAGGAGGTTGCTACCACCATTGGTATCCCTGGTGGACAAAGGATTAAGCACAGCACTATGAAGCTGTCCACAGCCTCTGCAGCAGGAGTTCGATCCCTGGCCAGCCAGGGAGCTACCCACATGGCACAGCAGACCTCTCCTGACTCACCTGCTGCTCCCCTCAGCAGTGTACCTTGGTGGATCTGCCTGTTCTGTTCCCCACTCTGTCTCTGGTGAATCCTCTCACCCCCCTGCACCTTTGGCCTATACCCACCAGCTCTTGTATGCATAAATAAATAAATCTTTCAAGAAAAAAAGAAATGGCTGCATTTGTATAGGGAGGATGTTTTGTTATATTATCAAAACTCCTCAAGTGCAGCAGTAGCTGTCCCAGATATGGGATTCTTTTCTAAGATGCATTACTTTATAGACTAGTTTTCCACACATGATTCTCAAATTCAAATTTAACCCGACCTCTCCTGAGCTTCAACAACAGAAAGGATGCTGGCCTACCATCCCCTCTATGTCCCTAAAGCTAAATTCCTTCTTTCCCCCTCCATTCCAGATTCAACTGTCTTAAATAATAAGGAAATGTATTGTCTCATATCACAAGAACTCTATTCAGCTCTAGGGCTAGTTCATTAGCAGCTCAATAACATTATCAGGGGCCAATTCTATCTTTTCACTCTGACATCCAGTAAGGTAGTGCTCCTGGTAGTTACAGAATGACTGCCACAGTTCCAGTTGTCACATCCATACCCATAACAGCCGGCAGAAGTAAAACTGTTTTTCCCCATATGTCTCCTTTTGTAAGCAACAAAATCCTGTCTCAGAAGTCCTCAAACAGACTTCTCACATGCTTGCACATCTAAACCAGTCACCAGCAAGGAGTAAGAAACTATCACAGAGAGCTTAAACTCATTATGATTCTTCCCCTATGGCTGGGAATTTGATTCTCCTCCCCTCAGCATGTGTAGAGTTAGGTGCATTCCTGAGCAAACTTGGGATTTTCTTAAGAGAAATGAAGGGAGATCAAATGTTGGGAGGACAAATGATGGTGTTTGATACAGATGATAAGAGGTAAATATCAGTCCAGTTAAGCTAGGTTAGACTATATTAACAAGAGACCCCCAAAGTGGCTTGTAACAGCAAAGATTTTTTTTTTTTCTTAATGCCGTACATGTCTATGGAGTGTAAACCCTGACAGTTGTGTTTTCTCTCTTTGGAATGCAAGTGTCTGGCTTAAGTTTTGCTTGCTGAAACATACACTCCAAAGAGGCTCCCCCTTCAAAGATGGCATTCTCAAAAAAACTCATTGCCAGCCACAGCACTAGATAAAGAGCTTGCTATCTCTCCCCACTGAGACTCCTTTGTTTAAGAGACTTTGGTGGATCTCAGTCACTGGCCATTTGGACAACTTGTTTTTTCTTTTTCTGTGCTTTAGATTCCCACGCTTATGTTTTAGATTCATCAGTAACATCTGGTGGTGAGATATATGCAGTTGCTGAGGTGAGAAAATATACTCCTGGAACCCATATAGTGTTATAAACTAATGCTACCTTGATAGAATAAAATTAAATAAATTAAATTAAATTAAAAAGTAAAAATACATTCATGAATAAGGAGCAACCCCATGAAACCTTGGGTCCCCACTTTTGACCCCCAATAAAATACAGAACACTAGACCCATTAACCCCTTTACCCAAGCTCCTCTCTCCTTATGACCTTGCTGTATGACCCCAGGTATGCTGTGTAATTTCTAGGTCTTGTAAGGTTCTTAAAAGCTTCCTGATGGTTATTGCTGAAAGACACATTGCAGTCATAACAAGAACCACAAGGACTGTTCCAGCCACAACATTGGTGATTAATCGGCTGAGACCAGCACAGAACTGTGGCAGGTCAGCTTGGATGTAATCTAGGTTGTCTTCATGCAGGCACTCTGGCAATAGAACAGCCTTTATCTGCAACATTGTTGGTCTTGTGGAAGAAGAAAAGCAATCTTGGTGAATCACACACTGACTCTTAATACTTCTGCTTAGAACCTGTACATGTGAGATCTGCTGGGTCAGAAAAATTCAGATAGCCAAGTCTAACATCCCTGGGATAGGGGATTATAATACTTCCCCAGGAAGGGCAGCAAAAATTTGTGAAAAATCGCCACCAGCCATATAGCCTGCCACAATCAAGGACTGGTCTAGATGAGGCAGCAAAGAGACAATGCAGGCATTTGTTTGGCTGGGGACTTGGTAATCATTTCTTCTCTCCTCAGGGCTCCCCAGGGAACTATATACAAGGAAGAAATTAGAGTAGAAATTCAAAGATCGTTGTATTCACAGCTGAGCTAACACCCAATAATCTCAGAACAGCACTCTGCCAAAAGACTGTGCTGATTCTTATGACTTAAGTTCAAGGGTGAAGTAAATCCCCTGCTCCACCCCAGTACCCTAAATTTTGGTGCCAGCATATACAGTCATGCCTACTGAGAGAGAAAGGGAAAGATAATCAGATCAGCAAAGCATGCCGGTTGCACTGGTCTGAGTGTGTGCTGATTGAGACTGCAGGGGGGCTGCCAGCAGGGAATGGGAGCAAAATAGCACTTGTGGCTATGTGACCTGTCAACACAAGTGCCCCCCACCACTGGTAAAATGTAGACTCTGACCAACCCGTTCTCCCTTCCAATAAGCCAGTAAGAGGGCAGCACAGAGCAGAAGGGAACTCTTTCCTTTGTTCCTGTATTGTCACTTTGATTCTCTCTGAACTCCATTTGATACAGGGGTAGAAAAGTGCATGTGCCCTGCAAAGGGCCAATGTACCTTGAAAGTGGTAGGTACTCAGGTATCCACTGATAACAGTAATGACTGTCATTTAAGAGACATCATTGCAATTTCAATTGACAAAACTGCTAAATTACAGATGTACCAGGGTTTTGTAACTTGGGATTCTGGGGCTGTTCCTTGTCTTACTTCCAACTTTCTCTCTATATATTGGCACAAAATGATATAGGCTGGTTCTGGACAGTAGAAAGAAAGTGAGTCTTCATAAATATTACATATGACCCCAAGCTGATGGATGTACCAAGTATATAAAAGGTCAAAATTCAATTGACCTCAATAAATTAGAGAAATGGTCATCAATAGCAGGTTAAAATGCATGCGAATTAATGAAAAGAAGTATATCTAAGTAGCAAAAGAAGCATCACGCACATTCAGATTCAAGAAAAAAAAAATGCCATGCAGAAATGTGGCCAAGAAAGACCAGCTGGTGTGGTAAACCAGTACAGAGTGAAGGGAGAAATGGTGGAATAAATTAACAGAAGTCTATGAGGCCAAATTCATCTTCATATCCTTGGGACCTGGCTTTGGTAGATTGTCCATGCTCTTACCTTTCTCTGAAAAGCCTTTGTGTGACCAATTCCTAGCCATCCTTCAAGACTCCATGATCACGTTAGGCGGTTTTCCCGGGGCAAGGCTTGTGCATTGAATTCTGGATTGTTCAGTGTGGCAGAATTCCCAAGTCAGATGGCTGATTATGACTGCCACACAATCTGTCCTTTGACCAAAATCATAGGCAGAAGCAAAGAGATTTAACCTTAAAAAGTCAGCAACTTAGATCATACAAAGATTTTGACAATATCCAGGGAACTCAGAGGAGGTTAACGCTGGTGTTCTTGAAGAACTGAGGAATTATTGGCAATTTACAATGAATTAAAGGTTCCCAGCTGCAAAATATCACTGAAGAGTTAGAAATAGGTCCCAATTTCTCCAAGTTTACCTGCTGTATTAGTTAGAAGTCATTCATTTACAAGGGACAGAAATCCCGTTTAAAATAATGTGGGCAAAAATGGAATGTACTGGTTCATAGTGGAGGAAATCTAAGAGTGGAGGTCTGTCACGACTACATCTAAGGACTAAAATCCTGCCCCCCAATATGTATCCTTCTTTCTATGCATCAGATCAGTTCTCTTTTATAGGAATATCTTCCTCCCCATGGCAAGGAAGATAGTCTTAATGCTCTTTTTCTGAAAAGCCAGGAGCCTTTTCTTCTACCTCTAAATGAAATCATTGACCCACTCCTGGACCAGTTATTCCAGTCGGGCTTACAAGATACCATGGTGGCCGGACCCCTGGCTCAGAAGTAGGGTGGTGTAATTAGCAGTCTTGCCAAACTCACATGGTTTCTTTGGGTGTGGGCAGACAATAGAAGAGATGGCCACTCTCCTTTCTCATGATTGAGATCACCCATAAATACGTCAAGCTTCACTCCACACTTCTGCTTGTTTCCATTCTTATCTTCTGCACTGGCCCCTGCTTGCCTCTGTGTGGATCCCTGCTCCGTGTTTCCCTCGGACTGCCACTTAACACTGATGCCTCTTAGCTAGCCCACCACTGACTACTCTGCCACTCAGCCTCGCACTGTGTTTCTTTCCTGGACTTCCTTTCAATGCCCTATTTGGAGAAATGCCCATGAGCTTCTAGGAAGCTCTGATGGGGACAGTGTGCAATTATGCACAGTTGTGTAGGCTGCTCTGTGCCCGAGGGCACACATGGAGACTAAGGTCCAATGTGAAATGCAGTCACTAAGCTTAAGTTATACACCTGCCCACATGTGCTCTCCAGAAGGAAGACATTTATTCTATTTGCACCAGGCTACTGTGTCATGCTGCTAAGATCTGTGACTATTCCAAGGAGCTGTCTTTTCCTAATTCATATGAAGATTACACAAGAGCTAGCAGCAACACGACTCTTTCCTCTGAAAAGGATAGAAACAGCTCCCTCTCTTCTGATTGCCATTGTATCCAAGGGATGCCGGTACCATGAACACAACACTGAGGGAGCAACCTCACCCCACTGTCCATCTATGACATCGTCATTTGCCCTCCCAGCGTGCTAGAGTGGAAAATAATGGGAAACTGTCACAAATTGACAGAGCTGTCAAAAACACACAGAAACCAGCTGTGTAAATTGTAAAACATGCTGGGTTCTATGTTTTCTGAAATTGGCAAGTTTTTCATCAAGAGAAAATAAGAGCTAAGAGAAACTAGGAGGATCATCCCTTGGAGACACAAGATCAACCCTTGCCACACCTAGTAACCCAGGTTCACATCAAATTGCACAGTTGGAATGTGATGGTTCTCAAGTGTGTCAAGAGCAGAACTTTTAGCTCACAGGTAGCTTAAATCTGTTCCCTGCCCCTCTCCCCCTCCTCAGAACATATGAAGACCCTGATGGGGAGTGGCTGGCTCTGGACAAGTTTAGGTAATAGCTGCCACGTTTGTCCTCTAACTACACTAACCAATATTTTGGTCCTGAACCTGGTCACACCACACTCTTTCTTTTGTGATGGCTGCTCTCATAGGAACTGGAGTCCTAGCTGTGATTTTCCTGCATCATACCTTACCTGTCTCCTTTTCCCCTACTCCTCAGACTTATCCATTTATGAATTGTGGATATTATTCGGGTTGTTTTCCTAGAGGGCACCTCAACAGCCAGGCAAAACAGAGTGGTAGAGGTGTTGTCCCGCTATACTCCAGCAATATCCAAATCCCAGTTTCATCCTAGTGGGGATTCTCCAGTAGGAATATAGGAGAATGTGGCCACTGTTATCACCTGGTATGTCCCCTGAAGTGGTGATTTGGTAAGATCAAAAGTGTTCAAAGACATGTACACATTTCTCAATCCATGTTTCTCCTACTGCTGCCCTCTGACTTCACTTTTCTAAAGAAGGGCACAAAATTGAAGTAGGAATCCTTCATAATCTGTCACCCCAGAGACACCGCCTATTCTTCTTTTGTGTTGCCCTCAGTAAAACCAGATCATATGGGGTCGTAGCCAAAGATAGACCAAGATAAAAGGGAGGTGTGGAAAGAAGTATCCTAGGGGGATTACTGAATACATCAAAGAGAACTCAAAGCTAGAGATAGTGAGGAGAGTGAAGCAAACAGCCTGAACCACAGAAGACGAGATGTACTCGACTGCTCAGACTCAAGGAAATAGAAGAAAATGGTGAAGGGAAAATAATTCTAGCAATAGCAGTGAAACAACCTTGAACAATTGACTTTCAAACTGATGTGCCAACTGAAGAGCCTCTTGCACCAACTGAACTAAATCCTTGGTGAAAAGCAAAAGTTAGATAAGTCACACCCACTACTTGTAAAAATTAATAGTAACCAGCTCTATCCCTTCTTGCTGGAGAAATTGACAACATAATGTCAGTGTTTGGTATTTATTTTGTCATGTCTAGTTAAAAAACCTTCAGATCTGATTATTTTTAATCCTGAAGCCAGCTAAAGTTTCTTAGGAACAGTTGTTATTTGACAGCTTCAGATAATTTAGTCACAGTCAGTAGAAAAGAGAGTACTGTACACAGCAGAGATTGGGTGGAATGGAGAGGAGGCATGATGGATAGTAGGAAAAAACACTGAACTAGCAGACCCAAGTTCACCAGCAATGTGACTTTAGGAAAATCGCTTAAATCTCACTTGACTTATCTGCAAAATAAAGAACTTTAAATTAGAAACCTTGTATGTGCCGATTTCAGCCTGTCAACAATCACTATCTTGGCTAAGCCAGCCCTTGTTCTTGTCGTGATTGCAAGCTGCCCTTCATCAATAACCACTAGGAACCCCTGAAGAAAATGGTTTATTACTCACAGGACCTGAAAATTACATAGCACACCTTGGACCACACAGTGAGGCCCTGAGGTGAGGGAGAAGGAGAAAGAGAGAGCATGAACCTACCTGAGCCTGGGGCTCAGCTTTTATTGGGACTGAGAATAGGACCCTAGTGTCTATTCATGAATTTAAAACATGAAAGTGGGAATTTAAAGCACGAAAAAGAAAAAAAGTTAAGCACTCTAAATGGTCAGTTACTGAATCAACCAAGAGCCTCAGTAGATGGTGGGTGAGGGGATCTTTATCTGGCCCTGTGGCTGGCAATGACTTTATTTGAGAACACCATCTTTGAAGTAGATGCCTCTTTGAAGTAGATGCCTGAGCAATCAAAGCTTAAGCCAGACACTTGCATTCCAAAAGGAGGAAACCCAATTGTCAGCCTTATGCAACAATAACCCATTATTTAAATCAAATAACTTCTAAGGCCAGCTCTAAAATGCTATAATTCCATAGTCTCTAGAGTCACTAAATGTTCAAGAAATTCATGGACAAACACCAGGAACCAAGAATAAACCAGCCTAACAAAGCAAACTGAGAAATGAGAACAAGCTGGTAAAGAGCAGTGGTGCGATTGCAAAGTCTGAATGCATTTTCCAGGAAAGCATGAGATGGCTGGGCACTGGGCTCAGGGCGATGACTTAGAGTACTGGAAAATAATTTAGTCATGGGTTCTTAGATGTTCCTTTCAACCTAGGTGTGAAGGTTAAGGTACGTGTGAATGCTGAATGTTCCCATGACTTGCTTTTTGTTGTTCTTCTGTCCTCATAGCTCTAGAGAAATTGATACAAAAACACCTACTCACAAAGTTTTTGTGGTACCTATTAAGGTGGAGCAGCACATAACAAGCCAGAAGTAACACCTGCATGAAGAATTATATTGTTGTCATTCTGGATATACCCAAATCTGACTCAAAGATTATCGGCTTCCTCCTGGCCTTGCTGATAGAAGGTATTGGGCATGTTCATAAGACATTATCCGTTCTTTGTGGATGACACAGGTTAGATTCCAGATGCCTCATTAGGTTGTCTATGAATATAGGCAATCGGGCTCAGTCTAGAGCAATATGCATCCCATCCCCAGGGACTGGAGGCAAGTCATGAAACATTTAGAAAGTCTTCCTGGGGGCATCCCTAGTGGCCCAGGGGTTAAGTCTCAGAGCTGTCACTGCTACAGCCTGAGTCTGATCTCCAGCCAGTGAGCTAACCCACATAAGATGCAGCAGACCTTTCCTGTCTCACCAGCTGCTCCCCTCAGCAGTGTATTTCAGTCAATCAGCCTGTTCTGCTCCCCACTCTGTCTCTGGTGAATACTCTCACTGCCCCCCCACCTCTGTTCTACACCCCAGTTCTTGTGTGCATAAATAAATAAAAATAAACCTTAAAAAATAAAATTAACTTTATATTTTAGAATATTTTTGGACTTGCATAAATATTTAGATTTCACAAAGGCAATAAAGAAAGCTTCTATATACCTCACACTAATTCCACTTCCAGTAATATCTCAAATATGGTAGATTGGTTTGATTAAAAAATAATATTGAACCTGAGGGAGTGGGGGGAAGCAAATATTATTTAAAATTGAACAATGATGTAAAAAATTAATAAAATAAAATAATAATAACATTGATCCATCAGTTTAACTAATGTCTATTCCATATTCAGATTGATTTAGTTTTTTACCAAAAGCCCTTCTTCTGTCTTTGGGTATCCAGATGCCTCATTAGGTTGTCTACGAATATAGGCAATAAAGCTCAGTTAGCACACCCAGTGTACCTGTCAAGTTTCCTTAGGCAACCCTTGGCTGTGGCACTTTCTCAGATGTACCTTGTTTTTGGCGACCTTGAAAGTTTTGAGAAAAATTGGTCAGGTGTTTTGTAAGATGTTTGTGCATCTATGGGAATGAATAAATTTCCCCAAATTAAGAAGGCAGTCTGAAGAACAAAGCAAGGACATCTATAAGTCTCAATTAAACTTCATTAGGGGCAACTTACACACGAAATCCTCAGCCCAAAGCCAGTGGGCAGGAGTAAGGAGCAAGGCAGGAACCTTTCTGGCACCACCACCCTGCCATCTCATATCTTGCTCAGGGCATGTGATGGTTCTTTTTTTTTTTTTTTTTAAAGATTTTCATTTATTTATTTATACAAGAACTGGGGTACAGGCCAGATGTATGGGAGGGTGAGAGGATTCACCAGAGACAGAGGGGGGAACAGAACAAGCAGACTGACGAAATACACTGTTGAGGGGAGCAGCGGGCGAGACAAGAGAGGTCTGTCGCGCCATGTGGGACCCTCGCTAGCTGTCTGGGATCGAACCAGCACTGCAGAGGCTGCTGACAGCTTCACAGTGCTGCGCTCAACCGCCTGCGCCACCAGGAGAGGCCCTGTGATGGTTCTTTTGTAAGACTAATGACACCAGGTGTCTGGGAGGACATGTCACCCATGTCTTTGTTCTAAGAGTAATAGAATTGTGCGTGGATCACTAGTATAGGTTAGTTAACACATATGAAAGAAACAATGGGGAGATTGGCTATCTTCCCAGTGCAGTGATTACTAGTCGTGGGTCTAAGATGGCATCACTTTGGTTTCCCTACAGTTGTCCCTCAACAGCATTTGTCCGATGGTTTTCTCATGGTTAGACAGAGGTTGTGGCCTTTCTAGAGGAAGACAAGAGAGATGAGTTTTCATCAATCAAGGGCACATACTATCAACATGAGTTATCACTACTGATGTTGATCTGATAACCTGACTGTGGTAGTGTCTATCAAGTTTCTCCACCCCTGTTACCTTTTTCCCCCTCTGTCCATACTATATTCTAAGGCAGGAAGTCACTATGGGAGATACACACTTAAGGATTGGGGAGGGGAATGGAATTATGCTTCATGTCTATTCATTTAATTTATTGGAACTTTCTTGCATAGATTGGCCACTTTCCCCCCCATTTACTTATTTATTCACTTATGTATATCATCCAGTGACTTCTGCTTATGTGTGCTTTTTCATCTGTCCACACACTTAGAATTCAGAAGGAGAGAATCACATTAGATTCTCACGACCATTTATTTTATACATTGGGTTATAACCCAATTCTGATTTGATTATCTAGTTGCTTGAATTGTTCCAGCTTTGGCCATTAGGAACTCTTTCT